TAGGACGTCTGTGATGAAGTGACAGAATTCACCCAGTGATGAAGAGGCGGCCTAAGAGGGTCAGCAGTATTCCAACTAGGGTCAGTTTGACCTGAAAACCACTCAGATGGTGGAAGCATTCAAAAAGATCATTTATCCTCAAAGCAGGTGAATAATGATGCATCGAAGACGGATGCATCAAACCGAGGCTAATCAATTACCGTTTGTCACCGTCACACACACTCGACTGCTACTCTAAATGTTAGTCTGAACTAAAGTATTCAAGTGAATTTTATAAATCATCATCATTTCTGGAAAAAAAAAATAAGAGTTTAAATATTTTTACCGCTCTGACAAGTTTCCCAAACTCCACCACAAATATCTGAAATGTGTCCTGATGCTTTTAGTGATGTAATCCAACGTGGTAAGCTGTCAAGCTTTTGGAAAGACAGAATATTCACAAATTTCAACATAAAAAGTAATAAGCTGACAAATATAAATATTCTGTTAAATTTCACCAGATTTTATTGGCCATACCACAAACACACCAGGCCTAAATTAACAGCAATGAGTACCGCCCCTGGTTGTTGAAATGGTGCTTCACTGCAAAAACACTTAATGGTTATTTCTGATGATAATCGGCCCCTGAGTTTTTCATGCAGGCTGAACATGAAAATAGTCTCCTACACCTATCTGCTGTATTATTCTGATAGAAAATAGAAAATGAAACTCTAGGATTAGAAAAGCCTGACAGATCTACGACCTGGTGTCAATGTTTATGGAGTCCCCCATCTTGAGTCACAACTGGGAAGGCTGTTGTTTTAGTGTCCAGGAAACAGCAGGGAACGTCTCAACTGGTAGAAGCTAACTGTTAGCATTAGCAGCTCCACCACACAGCAGAACACCTTCAGTGTCATGGTAGTCAGAGGGTGTTTTGCTCCACTATAAAACACAGCCTGATGGATGAAAGTGAGTATACTAAGGCTTTAAATGGGCTGGCACGGATGCAATATTGTGGAAAAAATACATCTTCATTTAGGTTATGACCATATAAGTTGGACTTTTCACACACTTTGAAGGATTTACCCAGCGTTGAAATGATTGGCATAAACCATCTTGTGCTGCATACCTCACATTAAACAAAAAGAAAGACTTATTTCACGTTGGGTTTTAAAATCCAACACCAGGGATCAGTGAGCTTTCATCACAGAGAACATCATGAAAGTTTGCTGCATCCTCGATACACGGCTGCCCCCGTGCCTTAGCTCTTTCCTCTTACTGGCGTAATGCTTCTGTTTGTGGCCTCTCGTTATACTTGAAGTAACCCAGGTTAAGAGTAGGGTCAGGGTCAGTCCTTAGAATTAACAACTGTTGCTGCACAAGGACAACCGAAAACATTTTAAAATAAGATATTAAAGCCACAACACTAAGCTAACTGCTAACAACATTAGCACTCTCAAAGCTATTTGTGGTACAAGTTATTTAGGACACATGAGAAGAGTATCAAACGGTTTACTCGCCATTTTTATAGCTGTGTTTCCAAGTAAAGCCTGATTTTTACTTCTCCGTCTGCATTGGTACGAAGACGTGCAAAGCCACAAAGCCATCGGCACAAGGGCTCCGACAGGTTCGCAGAGGGTGACGGAGGCATGCCCAATTTTTTAAATATCCATCGAAAGCAACCCCAAGTTTATGATTGGTCAAGACGCTGCTTCCTTTAAATTCATCAACGGCACTGCCTGTCCCCCTAAAAAAAATATTTTGCGTCAGACACGGAACAGACTGAAGAAAGTCTCGAAGAAAATTCTGAAAATATGAATGCTTATTCACCGTGAAGGAGTACAAACATATACAGCAAGCGTTTTATTTGTGGACAGAAACGACGAGAAACGTGGGTTTAGAGGTGCCGACCGCATGAAGAGGTGGAGGAGGAGTATGGGGGCTAAATGTGTCCATGTTAAAACTTTTCTGAAATACATTAAAACAATGTAAACACAATAGTAAATACACTATTGTGGACCAGATACATGACCGTAATGGTGGCAGGATACCTCAGAATAGCACTACGCCCGCTGCTGTCCTGGCAAGGAATTGCTTTGCAACATTCCCCAGGGGACGAAGAAGCCCAAAAGTAAAATGTCTCCATCAATGTGTGTCTCCCTCGCGGAGAAAAGTATAAATTAGGCTTGACTGTTCAATAAAATGCCAGAAAAAAAATACAACATTTTGTAAATCCTTACAAGTCAGAAAGTGATCGCTGCAAACTCTAGCATTGTTCATTTCAGCACCTCTTGTTTCTAGTCGGAGATTACTAATCCACTTCTACCGTCTTTTTCAGTAAGTTTTTGGGAAATTAAGTCCTTTGTAGGATTCTACTTACACGACACAAAAAAACAACCCTTTTTGTTCCGATTAGAGTGGTTCTAACAACCGTAGACCGCACAGATGCCAGGAATTTTGACGGCGAGTCAAGAGTAAATAGGGTGTTTGCGGGGCGACGGCTACTTCCTGACCCCCATCTGCCTTTGGTGACATGGATGCTACGTCATGTGAAACCCAGGAACGAGTAAGAGTAGGGCTGAAGGGTTCTGCCTTTCTGTCATGAACATATCCTTTAAATGAAAATAGTCACTTTGACCAAGAACTCACATCTAATCCAGGTGTGTTGAACATCTAACAGAGTTATGGTGAATTTGAGAAGGTGGTTTTTGTTTTCACCAGCAGTATTTATGAAAGGAGGAGGAAACACAGACACTTCTCTACATGTCAAACAAATCCCACATTTGCATTCGTTCAGAAGAGTAAACAACTTCTGATCCTTCTACCCTTTCACCGTATCCCCTCACCACCCGGACTTTGTCATTTAAACACAAGCCTCAGTGGAACCGCTCACACAGGGACAAGGATTCACCTCTACCTGCTGGTCTTTCATCACAGATGATGAAGAGAAAGAAGGTCATGCAGTGATCTGTTCTGTCTGTGGACTTTGTTCAAACCTCAACGTCTCTAAGGTAAAAGTACAATTCACTCCATGTCTCTCTGAAAATCCACCTGTGATTCCACCTCACACACACACACACACACACCACCTTACCGATCACTCACCATCTGCACCCAAACTGTTGCACTTTGGATCATATTTGAGAAAACTACACATCAGAAATGATAACGCACGTGTCAAAAAGACCTGACTAACTGCTGTGCATGACCTCCATAAAGCTGCTGGGGGTGTTAAGAGGAGAATACAGATCAGCGCTAATCTCGGCACGCCATCTAGTGGTAAAGTATAATGTGATGAAGGAGCCGAAGCTTAGGGAACCCTGACAAATTAACAAGCATTGCATGACAATAAAACATAATTAGATCCTTAATAAGACTTGGGGCATTACCCTGTGTATTTTAACACAATTAAAACAAATTAACACCCAGACAACATCAACGACTCGTATGTGGGACCTGGAAAAAGTTCCAGATTAAAGTCCCCAGCAAAGTCCTGCTGATGTTAATTTATTAGGTCCTTGTTTTTCAGAGGAGAATAAAGTCATTTTCCACAGCACAAATTTATTCACCCCAATCTGAATCCCATTGATTTTATGCTCTATTCAGCTGGAACACCAAAGATGCCGACTCAGCAGAGAACTTGACAGTTTCTTTTAAGGAAAGTGCACACAGCAATGAAGATTAATGTGGTGCAAAAGTAAAAAGAACTGAATACCTATTAGTCAATAGTTTTAATAAAACGTAGGGTCTTGACGGTGGTGTGCTGGTTAGAAATTAGCTGCTGAAAACCTGTGCAGGTACGGCAGGATGCTGGAGAGGCAGAGGAATAGAAGTGGATAACGCAGCTTCAGCTAATATGACACCCATCAGAAAGATCTTCTGAGGGCTGTCTGATTAATATATAGTATAAAAAAAACTCCAATTAGTGGGCGAGCGGGGAGGGGAGTCGCCTTACCGAACCACATAAACAAACTTATCTTGAGAGGGTTTCTTGGCCAAAGGAGGTAGACGGGCCGATAGCGGAGGAGGCCCAGAGAAAATGAATTACCTTCCTGACACACGTCAAAGCCAATCACCACCAAGCATCCTTTGCTGTTCCCGCACCCCAAATCCCCGCCGCCACCGTTGCGTTTCATCTGCCGGTGTTAGTATGCACACAAGCCGAGCGCCAGCCTCCAAATGTATTCATTTATTCAGAGCCCCTCGGAGAAATCACAGTGTCTTGTTGTCCCTTTTTTTCCTCGGCTGTCCAGATGGAATTTGCGTGAATAACATCAGTTTAGTGAGGCAGAAAATAAGTACAGGCTAGCACAGCAGAGGGGACTAGATTACACCCCCAACCAACCCTCCTCCCAGAAAAAAGGACAAGTGTCACCTTCTTCTACTCCTTTCTCCCTCCCGGTCTGCTTTTCTTGTTTTCTCTTCCAGCTCTGTTGAAACTTGGCAGGCGAGGGGGCAAAACCTCCCATAGAAAAACTGTTCACAACAATTGGTTTGGATCACCGTGCACGGCGGGTGCAATTAAACAGAGGATCATGACTCAAAGAGCTATAGGAGCCTTTTCATTAGTAAAAAAGGTGAGCGGCCATCGAGGGAGTGTAGCTCGCTGCTCATTTATCCATGTTTTGTTTTGCATTTATAACAACTAATTGCATTAGTTTTCCAGGCAAACCTCTAAAAGAGGCAAACACATCTCCAACAAATGAGAGGGAAAATTGTGAATCAATACTCCCAACTTCAATACCGCCCAAGAGAAATTACAACGACTTCAGTGCCAAGAGTGCAAAGTCCCAATATCCATCCTACTTTTTAAAAAATCACTACACAGCTTTCATAAGGTTAAACAATCATCTTTAGTATAACATTTATTCTACTTAAGAATTACCTGACACCAGATTTTCCCTCGGACCAACAGGGTAGTGAATGACGTGCTCTCGGACGGTAATTTCTTGTTTTGATCTAAAGTCATTAGCGGACCACAGACAGGAAGAACTAAATGAGAACATCTGAAGGAAGCCCACCTCTCTGAGAACCGTACTGAAGTATCCTCTGTAGAGGCCTCCAACACCCTGCATAAAAACACACGTTACAAACCTTTAGGGAGGAGGAATGTATTGGTGAAAAAACATTCTGTATACTGATCGGCCATAACATTAAAACCACCGGTGACTGCTTGTTATGTTCTGTTATTCTTTACTAGTTTCATTGTTTTCCTGTTCTCATCTTATCCACCTTATTTTTAAGTAGCCTCATGGAGAGACGCTGGTGCAGGCAGCATCCGGCGAGATGTGGCGCATACCCACAGCTTTGCATTGTGAGGTTTCGTTGCTAGTTGTTATTTTTTCTAACATTTGAAGAGGATTAAAAAAATTATTTACCCCCTGAAAAACGTACTCCGGCAGCTTGGGAAGAAGTTGCACTGTTTGCGCTTGTACCAACAACCAGAGAAAATTAAATTTGTAGCTACAAGAGCGATATTTAGAACATCCACCTCCAGAGGGAGAGCACGTGTGGCTGCGAGCATCGGTAGGGTTTTCACCACCTCCCCAGAGATGAGGAACCCAGAAGGATGTGGCTGAAAAATCCTAACCACTAATTTTATTTGTGCATTCCTTTCATTTTATTGTGAAAACCCGGAGAGGTACACCTACATCCTACTGACAAACCTCTGGAGAAGCGAAGCCAAGTAGTAAAGAGATCTGACAGCAGTCTCAACAACAGGTATGACTTCATGTGTACAATTTTCTGAATAGTTATAAAGTGTGTGTTTATACTGCCGTTATTAACCTAAAAGTGCCATCCTGCAGCTAGTGTTTCACCTGATGTAGAAACTAAAACCCAAAACTTGGTGATGATGGATTTAAGGCTCTGACTCGGCTCTACATCTGCTTTTAAGTGAACAGGATTGTGCCCCGCCTCTTTCAACAAAACATAGCCAACCTACATTGGTACTGATCAGCCTCGGAGCTTTTAAAGGTGTAGTATGTAAGAAAATAGTGAGAATTTTACATTGAGGAAATGCCAAAAGAGTCTAATGTTTCAGTCATTTTGGAAGGAAGGTTATACTGAAATATGTTTCATATCCACCTGGCTGTGAGGATTGTCAGTTTTTCCCCTTTCAAAACAAAGGCAGAAGGGACGTAACTACTGTTTACCATCAGTGAGTGTGGGGTTGCCGTGTCTCCGGCGAGCGAGTACTGCAGCGCCGACAATTGTAATTTGACGACGGTCAGCAAAAAGCTCTTGAGTTGTTTAAAGGGGTTGCAGTAACCAGATTTTACCACAAGATGCCAGTTTTACTTCATTTATACATAACTGCCTCGCTGTTAGATGCGATTGAGTTCAGAAAGTAGCTAAAATGCGACTGTACGTTAGCTTCGGTCAGACTTTAAGATCGTCCTCCTGCCTCTCTGCTTCAGTAGGCAGAAGTAGTGTAAAGGTGTCCCGTTTGAGCTGTGACAGCTGGTGTTCATGCATGTTTTCAGTCTCTAAAAGCTCATAAAAAGAGGACTTGCGCAAAGGAATCACATTGTCTCAATGTAAACGAACGAGAGACCGGAAGTCGCTTGCATCTTTCACGCAAAGCATGAGGGGCTGTAGGAATAAGGTGGGTACACAGAGTAGCAAAGTTTAAGTTTTTGCATTATTTTGCTAACAGTTACGGCTTCATACGTTTTGCCGACTGCAAGAAGCCAAAGCTGTTAACAAAATAAGGTAGAAACAGAAACTTTGCTACATTATGTATAAGATGAGAACAGTAAAACACTGGTGACTGGATTCATAACCGACTATCAGTGGTGGCTTGTCCATAGGGGCCGCTAGGGCGCCGCCCTACCAGGCTGGACGGGAGGGAAACATATATACATACATACATACATTCATACATAGGCGTCATTTTAACCGGGGACGCCGGGGACATGTCCCCGGCAAAATTTGTGATTGGCAGCTGTGTCCCCCCCACTTTCAAAAAATGCCTGCTGATGAGGATTTTTGTTTTACCAGCTCATATCTTATACCAGGGGTCGGCAACCTGTTCCCATCAAAGAGCCATTATTACCCGTTTCCCACGGTAAAGAAAACACCGCAGCAGCCGCAGGTTGTGGGCGGGGCCTACCCTCAGACAGCAGAGAGCTGCTACACCTGTACCGGTCGCTCGCATGGACGTCGCACCCGTGGGGGATTCAACACCCACACTTTTCCAGCTGTTTTGCTCACCTCCACACCAGTCTGGTTTCTTTATGTCGCACTCTCTCTGTTTGCCTCATCTCCTTCTTCACCTCCACTTCTGACAGCCGATGTCGGGTTTCCAGGAGAGCAGGAGAGGGAGGGACGGAGGAGCTCGACTGAATTCATAATTTTACATCTTGACATTAGCTGTACAAAGTCTGAGTTTGATCAAGTGAAGAACAACAATTTGCAGAGGTTATAACGGGCGCGGCGCCAGGTTTTCATTTTTGGGTGGGCCACGGTAATTCTGGACAGACCTTAATAAGCAGTGATTTAAGTGAAGCAGGCAGGTCGCGCTAGAAAATGTCGTTTAAAAAGACGTCATAAATGTGTTCCCCGTCATTTTAATTTCTAAAATATGAAGTAAAAACTCCCAATTTAATTTTCATTCATTTGTCATTAATATGTAGTCTACACCCGTGCGTTAAGTGGACCATCTTCCAGTAAACGCAAAGCATCCAGCCCACCTCTCCAAATGCGTAAAATGTGCATCAGCCGCTAGTTAGGCGCGCCGCGCACCATCAGCGACGTCAGCCCAGACAAGAGCGGAGCAACTAGAGAAAGAATAGAGGATAATTGTGTCTGGATGTGGATGGAGATTACATTTTACAGCAGCCTGATCATCATTTAAATACGTAAACCATCACCTGTCTTCTAGTCCACGCTATCAGCATTATTTTAATTGGTGTGTGTGTGTGTGTGTGTGTGTGTGTGTGTGTGTGTGTGTGTGTGTGTGTGTGTGTGTGTGTGTGTGTGTGTGTGTGTTTCCACTTCAAACACTGGTCTAACCAACCAGACCAGCGTGTCCAGTAACATATTAATGTTACAATTAAACAGTTTCACCTCATGTAGGCTAGGAACATTTCACCTGCCGTAGCCCGACCGCTTCTGCTCCACATAAACTTTGTGCGTGATCAAATGTCTCTACAGGTGCTTTCTGAGCTGAAGAGCTATTCTGCCTCGGACTGCGTCATGCGTCTCCATATTAGAGACGGGAAAAAGCGCTGTTCAGCCAAAGTTGAATAAGTTCATTAAAAGAACATTTTTCCAAGCTCATCCATGCGCATCAGTGTGCGTCGGGGTAATTCTTTCAAAACAGCCAGCATCCTTGAGTTTATCCGTCAAAATAAAAGTCTAATATAAATATCTGTAACCTGCCATTTAACTGTTTTGCCTTCTTGTGAAGATTGTTGCAAAGAGAAAAAACTAAACTTGATTAACCCCAGAGCCACGCGCACTGGGCTGTACGTCGTGACTGTAAATGAGGGGAAATGATTTAATCGGATCCTTTTCTCTTCAACATGGTTTTACGTAAAGTTTCATTCAGTACAAACTTTAGTTACACCAATCTAACGAGACAGAGCCTGGATTTGTATTCTGAACAGTTTAAACATGTTTAAAACGGAGACATGCGTGACGCGTCTAAAATTCGCACCTGCTCCGCTATTATGGAAATTAAACTAACAAGGTGAATAACATCAAATTATTTTAGGCACAGACAACATCTCCCACACTTTTGAAAATCTTGCAACGCGCCTGGTCGCTCGTGTACGTCAAAGTTATCTTTCATAAGAAGATATTCAATAAAACGATTTATATAAAGTGGATCCAGAAGTTGTAGCCCGTCTCTGCCTACAATATTTTGATATTTTTCACCCTGTTGGTGGTTTTACTGAGCAGGTGCCACTTTTGTCATACGTTTCTTTTTAAAACATGTTTAGACTGTTCAGAATACAAATCCAGGCTCTCAGAACCAGAACGCATGCGGGAAGGTTCCTCCCACTGAAGCGAGTGTTTTCCAAACCCTGTCTCTCAGAGACTTGTCACTTAGAAAATGTTCCCTGATTATGAAACTTTGGCTGAATAGTGCTTGTTCCTGTCTCCAATGTGGCGACGCATCCAGGAGCCGTCTGAGGAGAATCCCAGAATCTCACATCCTCCAGCTCAGGAAGCGCATTTAATTACGCACAAGCGTGACGCGTCAACCCGGTCTCACAGTGGACCGGGTTGGACCTGTTCAGGTTTACGCAGACAATCTTTACATTTAGAATTAGCATACAGATGTAAAATTAATGCAGTAAAATATAAAGCATTTTATTTAAATATCCATTCATTATTTTACAAGCACAGAGCATCAGATGGATGGAAGAGCCGCATGCGGCTACAGAGCCGCCGACCCCTGAGCTAGCCTACTTTATTGTCCCCAGCAATTTTTAAACCCCACTCAAGTGTATGGTTATTGTCCCCAGCAATTCTGAAAACAAACTGACGCCCTTGCATTCATACATACATACATACATAGACACATACATATAATTCACACCATGCCTCTAAAACCAACCAGTAGAGCTCTGTAACATTGTACCAAAGTGATGGCCAGCAAAATGTCCTCACTTTGCAACTAATGTCCTTAGTTTGCAGGTAAAAAGCTTCTCATTGGTCCTCACTTTGATGTGTAGACAGGTACACACACACACACACACACACACACACACACACCCTGTAGCCGTTGCTGTAAGATGGGTCTAATTCTCCCCATTTTTATGATTATTTTTAAAACAGGTCATCTACTTCTATTTCTATGTTACATTACTGCCACCTACTGGTGCAGCTGCATATAGCACTTTGGGGTGCGCATGCTTTCTTGAGCAGATCAGTAATGGCATATTCTACAGTAGCTAAAATTATATCGTAACGTAGACAAAATGTTACCTGAGCACTGTGAGTAATGAGTAATTGTTCGAGCATAAACTTTTGAGTACGGTGTCTGTTGGGTTGTTTATAATCGACATCCAAGTGCTCTGTCTCTGCATTTTCAATAGGTAAATGTGGTTTGTCTGTCTAGCACTAGCACCCAGCAGCACTTGTGGTGACGTCAACTGTAGAATACACGGTAAGGCACACAGAGAATGAAAACTCAAGCTGGAAAACCATTCAATGGATATTATGGGAAAAAAAATGATGAAACAATTGAAGGTCTGACATTATACCTCCTCTCTAAGCGTAGTCAGCAGGATGTTGTAGGTGGCTGATGAAGGACAGGCTTGTGTTCTTTGTTTGACCACTTCTGTTGGCACTCGGATCAAACACGCCACCTGCAAGAGGTCAACAACAGAAAGATGTTTCAATGGCTTGTTCAGCTTGGCTTCTAGAGTCCATTTATGTGCAATTCAAAGAAAAGACACCACTTAGGTACCTTGATGCAGAACATGATAAAATCCAGTGAACGGATTCCCAACATGACAGGTGACTATGATTCGGTACAGCATGTGGGGAGCAAATACGCAACGCTGGCACTTTACTACAACCACTTTAGTCAGTGTGCAACTCGGCCAATTAACAACCCGCTACACACGGCCGACATGACACAGGTGAAACGGTCGTCATGTCTGCAAAAGGTCATCAGGCCAACAGTGTATCCGTGTCCACCAAACGTGCTCCCGTCAAACACGCTGATGGATTCAGACACGCGTGCACGCCTCAGAAAGCACACGCTCAAGTTCCAACCCATCCACCATATGTCAACAAAAATATGGACTGCCAACAGCTAGTGAAGATAGACATGAATATTTATGCCTCCTAACGGGAGACAGGCAGGCGCAGCTGCCCACCTGGTGACTTGATTTCCCATTTATCCTGCTTCAGAGTGGAAACACTGGCTAACGGTGGGCAATCTTACAAAGCGATTGGTGAGCCGCCCTCCCTCTGCGAGTCTCCCTGAGTCGCACAAATGCCCGTCTGCTGGTGCCACCCTCACCACTGCAACGCCTAGTGGGAAGGGACAGCGAGAGTGATGTAATGCATCCTTTTTCCTCTGTTCTCATTTAGTAACATCAGGGTACCAGCAAAAGACTCTCTGGCTCTGGGGGAGGGAAGGAAACCCCAACAGCTGCTGGAGAATTCGATTTAGATGGCCACTTCTGTCATCTCCTTATCCTGGCACCAAGGAAACCTTCCGAGTGGGAATGTGGGCACATGATACACACATAAATCAGGAAGAATGGATCACAGTCTGAGCTAATCTAAATCTGATCAGACTCAAACTTCTGTTCACTCCTGATTTCATTCATTCCTAAACGAGCGTTGATCGTCACTGCACACAGGAAACCCAACATTTCTGAGTTAAACAGAGGGAACAGATAAAACTCTATGTGAGAGCATATTCTACTAAACCAAATGAGCCTCTGTGAAGAATTAAATGCAGATCTTATTAGTGTTTCTGATGGGTTTGAACTTAACCGTGGTGACACACTGCCACCCAGTGGTCAAACGTTCACCTACAGAGATCTTACTTGCCTTTCCCTTTGGTCAAATTACTGTTTGTAATACATCGTGCATCATCTTTACAAAACCAATTCTCCAAGAAAGAGCATAATAGGGCCGGTCCAGGGAAACAAAGTGGCCGTGACAAATAATCAGTGACATAAATGTCCAGGAGGGCTGGAATCAGTGAAGTTTGCTGTTTACAAAGCAGGAAAACAACAATGAGGCAGAGATTACAACAAATGCACTGGAGATATTGTTCATTTGGTTGTGATATGCACGCCTCGTGGTAGTGAGAGTGAGGAAGAGAAGGATGAAAGAGGATCAAGAGTGTGGAAATGAGCAAATGATGGAGACGGGAGTCAAAGGTCAAGAAACCATAAAGTGTTGCTGAGGATCAAAAAATATAAACATTACTGCAAAAACAAAGAAGCAGTTGACATCGTTGACATAATGTGACCCAGAAATGTAACCTGCATGTCTTAAACCCCACCCCCTTCATGCAAAGTGAACAGGATGTTTTCTTTGATAAAAAACAAATTAAACACAGGTTTTTCATGCTTTACTACAAAGAATCTGGAACATGAGCAGTTCCCGAAAGCACGAGATGGCAGAGCATGAAAACAAGATATCTCTGTTTCACTTTTCAACAACAGAACAAGATGGAGACATGTGGTCTAGTTATTCAGATCATGTCAACAGCCTCCTTGGTGTTGTGGTAGGGTGTCTTTTCTCATCAAGGCTGTTTTTTCAGCAGAATAATGTGCCAAAAAACACTGGTAGAACTCCTATTCTAACCTTTCAGAAATACATTTATTTGGTTGGATGAAATTTTGACTTTCGTTGAGAAAATACAGATAATTTTCTGCTTGAAAACTTTTTATAATGAGCCTTCAATAAACAGTAGCATCAGGATACATATTAAGAGCCTAAAACTTGCATCAGAAGCAGGAAAAGTGACAAAACAAGAGAAGAAGATCGGAGGAGTGGAAGGAAGAAAAGAAAAACAAAAAGGTCATGAAGAAAAAGGGATGAGATGAGGACACAGAATCTCCCAACTCTGAAACAACAGCCAATAAATCACGGAGCGTGGAGCTGCTCAAAGGCGATGCATGGATTATTTCTCAGTGCCAAGTTAAGTGGTTGCCAGTCCCCCCCCCCCAAAAAAGAATCTTCCCCCATGCTCCCTATTTCTCACTGTCTCCTATCTTGTCATGTCACACTGTATTTTGCTGAACATCCTCCAGCAGACACACGGCAGTGGGGTGGGGGGTGTACAGATGCGAGAAAAGCCCGCTGCCTGGCCTTGACAAATGAGCTTTCAGGGCAGACGTCGGGCGAATGGGAATGAAGATAAATCTGATCTAATGGCTAGATAACAGCCTGCAAGAGCCTGACAGACGCCATCAGCTTACACATTCTTTATAAGCGCGTCCCACATCTGCAGTTGCACGAGCACCGGGACACTTTTCAAAGGAGGCGGCAGAGGGAACGAATTTCTCTCATTGTTCTCAACACCACTTTTGCTTTGTCCTACAACTCCTGGCTGTCCTTTTGGCCTCTTTTCTCGCTCTGCTTTTGTTTATATTGGCCCAATCCCAATACTCGCACTTCCTCCCTTCCACCCTTCAATTGCGCGTTCCCGGCCAGGGGTGCTAGTACGTAAGGTGTCCCGACTCTCAAGTGTGGAAGGTGACCACGCCCCTTTTGCATCTTTGATCTGAACTTTGCCCAAATCCACATTGATGTGGACTTTGGGCAAGAGTATTACCCACAATCCATTGCTGTGAGGGAATTTTGAGAAGAAGGTAAAGCAATGGCTCAAGTGCCTTTTCTTAATTTATGTATTTTCAAATGAACGAAGTTCATATTTCTTCATCCTTTTGGATGTTTTAGACTAAGATTTAATGTGGACAGTAATGAATGTAAATTTAGTCAAATAACTGTTTGTTTGAAAGTTATTAATAAAGAGTTTTAAAAGTTGCACAAACAGCAACCGGCATCCCGTTTGCGTTCGATGACGCAATGCTCCCCGTCCCAATACGGCACACTTGTGTACTACGCACTCAAAGTCTTAATGCACACTTCTTCTAAGTGCACTTCACAGAAGGGCGTAGGGCAACATGCAAGTATTGGGATTGACCCAATTAAAAAAATAAATAAAATCAGACGGGTTGTTTAGAGAACAGGTTCTAGCAACTCCAGAAAACTCCAACCTCAATCAACTCATGTATTCTTTCCACAGTAGGAGTCATGGTAAAGCCATTGTAATTTGGTCCTATAAATTGCTGACTTGTTCCGGGAGATTCTGGTGGCCTTGGATGTTTTTTTTTTCTTTAAGCAACCCAGTCTGATCTGGTCTCTGATGATTTTACAGAGCAAATCCTCATAGAGGAATTATGTAGAGCTATTGTAAAATTCTATCCAATCCAGATAAATGAATAAATCTACATGAGATGGAAAGCATTTACTTTTCTTTTAATTGTTCTGACAAGTAATTTGTGATCTTTATGGTCAACAGGGGTTTGGGTCTTTGTCTTATTTTAATTACAGAATCACAACTGACCTTTAACCTTAACCACATGAGACCTGCCCTGATTTCCATGTGGCTGTGAGGTATTCTATTCGGCTTTGGGTGGGTACGTCATGTTGCTTTTTGAGATCCTTTAGCTTCCTTCAAGTTGTCCAACAGGTTCCACTGAAGGGATTTCTGAATTCTACAGGTCTGGTAGCATTCAGGCCCGAGTGACGGATATAAAAATGTGTTTGCTGATCTGAAACATTTAAAGGTGCTTTATGCAAGATGACGGCTAAAAAATAAATCTGTTTCAAAGTAAACTGTCCTTTCCTTTCCACACGATTGATACATTAGACTGTTTTGTGGTTATTTTGCGGTAAAACTCAAAAATCATTCCTTCAGTAAAACAACTTAGTTTGTTCAGTGCAATTACTTAGCTGTAAGGTGGTAAAACAGTAACATTTAACAAGCTGAGCTGCTGCAACTTCTGCAAAACTCTGAGAAAAATAACTTTTAATTAAAATTCAGAGTGGAGGCTGAGGAGGAACTGTCAGCTGTTGCATCACAGCGCAGGTGTTTGGGCCCTTCATTCAACTGGGGGCTGCGCTGAGGTTAGCCTTTCATGGCTAAGCCTGAAGATTAGACTCAAGACTAACTCAGTAGCCAGAATGCAGTGGGATAGCGCCCCTGCTTTGCTGTGCTCCACTCTGAGGATTTGAGCTTTTGATGTGCTCAAATCCCAGCGTGAGGTTAACGGCGGTGGCAACCTCTGCCTCACCTTTCACACTCATCTCACCTCTGCCACAGACAGGAGCAGCAAAACTTCACCGGATGTTAATTCTCACACTTCTGCAGTAGCTGGAATAAGCGATTGTGACCACTACGCAGCACGCCGTCGTCCTCTGGGCAATGCCGGGCCCAAGTACTGGGACCATCCGTTCATGTGGAACAATTCCATTTCATGAACATGCAAAGTTTGGCTAAATTGCTTCCATTGAAAAGCCATGAATACTGAGACAAGAGTATTTTGCAGACACCCTGGGCCTGATCTCCATACCTCCTTGATGCCTGTGAATACCAGAGACCCTCATCTGGCTGCGACGCTGCAGCTGACTGGGAGAGGATAGGATGAGGAAATTACGCTGCTTTTTGTTGGTTTCCAGCCTGAATTCCCAGACTGAATTTGGCTGGGTGTCTGCGCTGGGAATCTAGATGAGTCAATAGGCAGTAATGAGATCTTATTTACCCAGCTGGTGGGGGAAAATACCGGAACGATTCCAAGGAAGCCCCCTTAACTTGCCCAGCTGGACCCACAAGGCCAAAAGCCAACAAAATCCCACCCAACCCAATCCCCTGCCGCCCCCTTTAATAGCTTTCTGTGAAATTTCAAGGGCAATAACATTAACACACACACCAGTGGTGTTCGTTCAGGATAAACTGCAGTGGGAAGGAAAAGGACAGAGGAGTAGAACCAATGGGAACCAGTAAGACCTGACAAAATCAGCAATTAAAATCCACTGAAGGGAAGGAGAAGGAAAGATGACTTACAATTTCTCCCAAGGAGGCGGCGAGCATGTTAGTGACAGGTGCCACATGTGGTGCTGCAAGCGCTCCACCAGCGCCGAGGAGGGACTTGGTGCACTCGTAGGTGACAAAGAAAGCAGCGGCTGAAACCAAGCAGAACCACAGCCGTTTAAGGGCCATTAGTCAACCAGCATAGAGCAATTAATATCCCCGCTATCCCTGACAGGGGAGAAAGCGATGTGTGAGTGTGTTTCTACACTTACCTTCAATGTAAAACACTCTGAAAATGAGGTTTTCCTCTGGTGGAAACACTTTTGTTCTTTCACAGTCCCACTAGCTAAATTCATCCATCTAAACACACCAACATGTGACTCTGATAATGCTTCTTCTAGTCCGACTCTACCGTTGTCATACCAACGCATCACACATTTATGCAGCCATTTCCTGAACAAAGTATTATTCACATAATACTTCTATAACGTGACTTGTAATGAAAACATCCTCTGCTCTGCAAATGACAGATTTGACTTTTGCACCAAACATTCTGATGATGATAAGTATAAAAATCACTCAAGATCAGTGTGTTGGTAACAAAAAGATCAACATATGTGTTAAACGTGGAAATTTAAAGCAGAAAGAAAACGTGATTTAAAAATCTTAAAATGACAAAAACTATAATAGCTGAGCAATTGATAGCTTGGTAGGATTGTTATGAAATGTTGTGAAAGCATTCTGCTCAGTGATCACATGTCCCACAGATTCTGATTCTAAGGTAAAGTCTCATCTTACTAATGATTACACATTATGGTAAAGGAATCATGAGTTTTAATCCATGCACAAAGTCTTTTTATAAATGAATTGAGGTCAAACTAAATCCGTTTACCTGGTTTCATTAAACAAATCACAACTTGTTTGAGTGCATCATTTCATATATAGTATATCAGCTGTTATCAGCCTTCAAATTCATGTTTCGGGGTGTTCTGTCATATATGTGAATACACAAGAGAGCTCAACTTTATAATGGATACAAGTTGGGGCTTTCAGAATAAAACAACTAGATTAGAAAATCTGTATAAAAGTACTTTATGGATTACTTGAGCAATTGATATCTTCAACCTTAATTATTAATGTTATCTTAGTCTTAAATGGGACATATTATGCAAAAAAAACCACCAATTGAATGCTTTCGTGTTGCCATGTGAGCCTCTACTGCCTCTATAAACACTCCAAATATGAAAAAAAAAACTGCCCGTCCATTTTCTGTCATCGTTTGGTTTTAGGAATTTTGTTTAAAAAACGAGACATTTTAAAATTCCCGTTTGTGACATCACAAACAGGGAATGTAGAATAGACCTCGCGCATGCAAGAGAGCTGCTGCTGGAGGTGCAGCGGCCCTAGTCCAGTCCTCTCACGGATATGGGAGCTTCTCAGCTTATAGCAGTCTATCAAGGGATGGGTGGGTGTGGCCAACTCCAGCTTGTTTTCTTAAAGTGACAAAGCCCTGAAACGGTTCCTTCTGGAAAGTACTGAAACTGTCAAGAAAAAAAAACTGCTAAAATTGCTTCACGTGAGAGGGACTTTGTTCAAAGAACTTGTGTAACATGTTTTGAATCAACCATAGAACTATTATAACTTAAGAAAAGCCATGCTGTGACTTTCCTAGGGCTGCAAATTATCAGGAAAATGTATGGTAATATCTTCGTTTAATGTGTAGCGTCATGAAGGGCCTCTAATTTGTGACAAAGGTCACATTTTCCCAGCTGGGTCAAGCTGGGTCAGACTGTGACTTTTAGTTCCGCAGATTAACCCAGGAGCCCTGATATTTGAAGAATATCATCCTTTATCTGCTGCTGTTCCGTCCCAGAAGAAGGACACTTCAAGTTTCACAATAATAATTTAAATAATAATTTTAATAAAGTCTTTGACTTTATTGAGGTTTAATTATAATCATCATAAATAATCTCTTGGTTCAGTATAAATTTATTTTAATTACTGAAATGAATTATTATGCTTTGGGTATAATAATTATGATTATGGTTGATAATGTGTGTTCAGCAAACCAGAAGGTCATCTCAACCGTAACCAGCTCATTCAGATCTGATCCAGAGTAAAGGTTAATCTGCCATCACATGTTTTTTTCCTCTCATGACCAAAGCTTTCTTGCTCTGAGAGGGCGTGTTCTGAGGAGTTTGTTAAACTAACTTTCCAGCGGAGAAACTTCAGTTCGTGAGCCAACCACCATCACTGAGGATACGGGAACGGCCGTCCCTAACCTCCACCTGCTGTTCTTTCACACCGATAAGAATAGCTATGAATAAACATAACTGTAACCAGCTGATGCAAAAACTCCTCCAGAGCTATTGAGTTTGAGAGTTGGTCGGACCAGAGAGTCGGTTCCTTGAGTCTCCTCTACCAGACCGAGTACCTGGAGGCTGACACCATCCTCCCTTGACCTCCGGATCCTCATGAAGGGTCGTCTTGCTGGGTGAGGTAGCACACAGATAGTGTCTGATGCTGTTTTCTCTAAGTAACAACAGTTAGCTGCAAAACCATCATTTCAACCCAGAATGTGCTTCTCTCTCTGAAAGAAACCTTCTGAGAATTCATCCACGCATCCAAACTCGTATTTTCAATTTAGCTTTCATTCAGTCACAGGTTTGCCTTTTAAACAAGTTTAATATCAAAGATGGTAAATTGTCATCCATGAATTGTCATTCTTAATTTCTCATTTAAATTTTTGTTTTAAATCGTCAAGTTTAAAATTGTTAGTAATAAATTCTTCATTTTTAAACTTGCCTCATTCTTTGAAAAGAAACACAGGATGGTGTGTATTTCTGGTTATCGAAAAAAGCAAAGATTCCTAACTTCTGATTCAAAAATAAACTTTTGCTATTAAATTTAATTATCTTAAATTAAACATTAATCTTTGGATTAAATATAGACCAAACAGGTTGGTGTATGAACTTACATCGATTATATAAGTATCCTGGATATTTATACATGATATAAGCTTCATATGCTAATCTGCTTGGTCATTCTCAGAATCTACAACTGATAGCAAACAGCGTGATTCTAGTGTGTAGTAATACCCTACAAATGATTTAGAAGATAACCCTAAATCAGAAAAGTTTCAACTCCATCATTTTCAGTTGAATCCATTATCCCAAAAAACCTTTATTCATGTCAACCATCGTTACAGCTAAACAACTTCAACTAAACAACAGCTGACCTCTTGTCTGCTTGCTAACCACCACTCTGTTTACTTGTTTAATCTGTGGAACAGTTTTCGGACAGCAGAACTTTTCTCACTAATTAAAAGCATCAAGCCATGACAGTGATTGTTTTACCATTGGGGAAGGATCCAACTGCAGCTGAGGGCACGCCAGCGTAGATGCCCCTGAAGCCCCCGGCCTTGTAGAAGCCCTGCTGACTCTGCAGTCTAGTTTTGATGGTGTCCAAGGGGAACAGGGTCAGATCCACACACATCCCAGCACAGCCACCTGCCTGTAGAGAGCGAGAGCTCTGAAACCAAAACACTGTCACACCAGCGATGATGTCTGCTTTTAGATACACCCCGTTTTATGCCCAGATTTATCAGCATCTTACACTGTAATTGATTTACACACTCTACATAAACTCTAAATTAGTTTTCGCTTCCTTGTTTCTTTTTATGTTATGTTTTTGTGCTTTTCTAAACCAACTATTCTTTATGCTGTGTAACCTAATATGGACCTCAGAGCACAGATAGGTTAGTGGGTCCTGTAGCGCAGCATGTTTTTGTTGTTGCCCTGCTTCAGCACAGCTCAATCACCTTTTCAGCAGCAGCTCATCAAGCTCTGGAGAAGTCTGTTAATCACCTTATGATTCAAATCAGGTGTGCTGAAGCAAGGAAACAAATTTGATGTGGACTCCTGCTCACGTGGGGATTTTGGGAAATGGGAAAGCCGATAGGTTGGCCAAGACGGCTACAAAAAAGCGACAGTGGAAATGAGGGTAACTTTTTCTACGTCAGAAGGTAAAAGTGTGAAGGAGGGATGCTGTGGCAATGGAGGTGGGACGCTGAGTCGCAGGCATCTGTATAGGTTTCAGATGTCAGGGTGGTGGACAGACCTAAAGGACTGAGCAGAAGAGGGGAGGCACTGCTGTGCAGGATGTGAATGGAACATTGTTGTTTAAATGCAATTCGTAGTTCAGAGAAGAGTGACACTGGATTATTCTATTGGGATGCTGGTTGTTGTAAACACTTGCAACATGAATTTTACCTACATTCATTTTTATATAGGTGAGAGAGAGAAAAAATTCTAGATACCTGTGCCGCTGCACTGGAACCAAGCATGCATGTTGGGTTGAATGGAGCTTATAAGCTTTTAGTTCGTGAACACACCTGATTTTAATAAGTGAGTAATTAGTCGGCTACTGTAGAGCTTGGAGACATGTTGGACAGGTGATTCAACCATTGAAAACGGTGTGTTGGAGCAGGAAAACAACTAATAATTGCTGGATGATCTCGAGGAGGTGAGTTGAAGAGTTATGTTTTACAAAAGTAGAGACAGATAAAGAGTTGTTCATTTCTATTCGTTCCTGTGATTGACTGGTAACCTAGCCTGGCAAGCCAGACTAAATAAATTTGGTCTAGTTCACTAGGCTACTGGTAACCAGTACCCAGCTAAAATAAACTCAAGACTGCCTTTGGAAACGATGCATTTGTTTTTCTTTACATCACTATCCCACATTTAAAGCATAACTCCAAGCATTTCTCTAAAGCAGGCGTCCCTGCATGGTAAAACTATAATTTCTTTAACAACTTGCAGAACAAAATCACATTCTTACCACAAGTGAAGCGACGAACTCTCGTCTCTCCATATTCCGCTAACGGGATTTATTAAAGAGTCATGTAGCCCGGTAGTTTTCTACTATTCTGCAGGTTTTGTCGCTTCACTGAAACCAAAACATGCCTGTCAAGGACGCTGCCATGTTGGCTGGATCACTTCCGCGTTACGTCATGACGTAAGGAACGTGAGACCCGAACCCCCCTAAAAGCATTATGAATAAATGAGCTATAACACCTACATGCAAAGACATTGAATGCTATTTATAAGTGTTTCTTTTTCGTTATTTTCATTTGTAGTAACGCTGAATGGTAATTATTAAAAATGAACAATGGTGAACATAATAATTTTGACACGATTACTTATTATAAAAAAGAAAAGCAGCTAAAACAGGAAAATACATAGAAATATCAACATTCAGTTACTTGCAAGAATGTAGGTTGTAATCAATTAATAGCTTATATTTTTGTTTAAAAACATCATTTGTGTTTTATTTGTTTATTTTATTTTTTCCATGTTCTGGCATACAGAACTTATGTCTGAGTGTCGAACACCAGCCTTACAATTTTCTGTCACAGGTGGAGCAGATTCAACTATAATGCCCCGCCTGTATCAAAATGTTATTAGACTTGCTTTCAGTCATTTTAATCCCAATGGACATGGAGGCAAAATTAATGAGAATGTGGGAAGAGGAAAGGAAGAGGTGTGTGTGTGTGTGTGTGTGTGTGGGTGGGTGGGGGAGGGGGGGTCCCCACAAAAATCAGCAATACAGGATGTATAAGAATCCACTTCTAGACCTGCAAAAAGAGAGAAAATGAGAAACTGGGTAAAAACATTCAGGCTTTCTATAACATTGAAAATAATTTTGAGCTGTTTATATCACTTAGCTCTAAAAACAGTCGAGCAAAATACACTGCATTCATCACATAGTACTAAACCTAAATTCCTCTGATTAGTGAGTTTCAATGATCTACCTCCATACACCTATGTTCTCTTTTTGCAACTTAACAGCCTGACACTTTTCCTTGTGTTTTGTGAGTAAGTGTCCTCAGGTGAGAGTGTTCTTTTCCAGTGACAAGCAGACTGAGTTATTTATGGGCTACTGTCACCCACCCGGTGCCTCCTATTGGGGAAGAGCGGGCAAAGGGACGCCACCTCTTTATTCACCCTGGACCCAATGATGTTTGGGCTGAGCGTGCCCAGTTAGAAGCTCGGCGGACGCCATCTATCTTGTAGAAGCGGTTCTCAGAGGGATTCTAGTTTGGATGTGAGCCCCAGCTGGATTTGGGCCGTGTCACTGTCTCTGCTGTCAGGATCTGTATTGGGCCTGAGGACGATCATGGCATGATGGTCACTGCTCCACCTGTTCTTTTATTGTCTCCATACAGCATCTTTGTTAAGAGGTGTGAGAATCTCTATTATTTGGTACCTCTAAACATATACAGCAGATTGTCATTCACCTGGTGATTTTCCACTACAGATTGTCCCCAAGGTTCAGATGAACTGTATCACAGCTCAGTCAATACAGCATATTAATTCTATTCCAAACCTGCAATTGATTTTTTTTCTTTTCTTTTGCATTGTTGCAAAGAAGTCTGCAGTGTCTGCTCCATTATGCCAAGCCATTTGTCACTTTGTCACTCCATGTCCTTGGTTATTGGGATTTTTGTCATTTATGCTCAAAATGCTGAGAGTCTTTCCCCCAGGGGACTGGTGCCAGATTCAAAGGTGGCATTCATTTTAATGCAAATGCACCTGTCAATGTGTTTCCTGTGAGAGATTACGCGTATCATTTGTGTTTTCACAGAGTAAGTGAATAACTCTAAATGTATTGGATGAGATTTTAACCTTTGAACGCTTGATTCAGAAGGTTTAAGGCCGTAATAACTGTCTGCTCCAACGTGATCTCTGCTGGAGCTCTGCGTGCAGCATCTGAATTCACCCGCAGAAGTGAATGTAAAAGACAGCTGGATGAGGGTGCGCGTTACCCCGGTGGAGAGGTCAATGAGAAGCACGCAGAGCCTGGGCAGATTTGCAGGGAGCACCATTGATCTTGACCTGCTCAGAGTATGATCTCAGAGATAAAAGGGAGGAGACGAGAAGGGAACTTATTCACTGTCAGCCGCGAGTCAGCAAAGGGCAATTCTAGCCCACAGGCTGCCTTTGAAAAGTGAAGGGCAAAAGCGCAGAGGATTAAGCTGTGAGGTTGAGAGAGAGCAAGAGAGAGAGAGAGATGCAAACAGCGGTGAGGTTTATTGTAATAACATTGACATGTATTGGTTTCTATCCCCTCCGTTTGAGACGTGACAGCCAGAATGAACTCGGAGTCAAAAGGTGATGCGATTCACAGGTGAGGGGGGTGTTCAGAGTTCCTGTTAAAGTTTTCGTTCTCCATGCCGTGCTTCAAACAGCTTGTTTACATTTGAATTGTTTACATTCATTTTAATTTTAAAGTCATCGCTTTTGTTGCATGTATGTGACGGACCAACAACTGTCTTTTTTATTGTGCTATTTTGAAACGGTGCCATCTGTACATTGGTCATTATTTGCGAGCTGGGAGGAACACGCGTCTGGACTCTTGACACTGTGCTTTTTTATTCATGAGACAGGTTGGTCAAGCAGGGTGGTAAACCTCAGCTGAAACATGGCTCCCTCTCATTAGCCAGAATAACATTTGCATCATTAGGACACCTCGACAGCAGGACGAGAGGGGGATGCGACTAAGCACCTTTCATATACCTCTTTGTTTTTACTCCCAGGATGAAAGGCTACAAGAGTCAGTGACAGGATGCAGAGGGTGAGGGGGGAGTTGGAGAGAACGTGAAGAATAACAGAACATTCATTATAAATTCACTGAATCGACAAGCTGTCAGACATGTTGCATCTAAGCTCCACATCCAACGTCACACTCCAAACTTAGCTGTTCCTCACCTTCACTTCCTGCCTGTTTCTGCTATCTACTTTTTGGACTGACCTCCCGCGAGCCTTGCAAAGCCATGTCATCATCCCATCTTTCCCTTCCGTCTTTCTTCTTTCGCCCCTGCTGGGCCCGATGGTGAAATATGAGCCGCCTGTAGCACATTGATCCCTCGCCAGGCTCCCACTTACAGATAGATGTATCACAGTCAGGGCAGATGCACTCTTTCTCCCTCTGCCACTCCCATTGACTTCACAGGATGACATTGATCGCTGGGATCGATGTCATCGCGACACACGCTCATAGATCCTGTGCTCCTGTTGTCATTGTGTCAGTAAGTGCAAGTAGACTGAGTGGATGGCTGTCAACCGTGTTGGGCTTCCATTGGTCAGGAGCTTCATAATCACCGTTGTGTTATTGCTGTCCAGCGGCAACAGTAAAGCCACCACCTGTTTGGACATAGCTCACTCTCAGCCGACAATATCCTTTTAAGATTAAAATGAAGGAAAATGTGAGAAAAACTATAAATATTGATGGTTTCAGACAACTTTAATGATTTTTAAAGCTAAATGTGGGAGCACAAGTTAGATATTTAGTTTAAGAAGGTGTGCATTCATCAACAAGCTTCTGGTATAATCCTGACTGAATATACGACCACCCTTTTTGGACGATTCATTTAAATGTGTTGGTTTTTGGCACAGATGCAAATTTTAACCACAATTCAAAAGCTTTCCAACCCAGAAAAGTAGGAAATACACTTGTTATAATAAATCTGCTGTGGCATTCAGTATGAAAGAACGCCTTTGAAGTAATTTTCAGTAAAAAAAATCCTTTGACGCTCCTGTTTCAGGAAGTAGAAGTTAGTTAGAGGTGTGAGGCATGGAAAACAACAGGATTTGGAGTCTTACTCATTAATATTCATGATATGCAAACATCTCACCTCTGATTGGCTAACAGCAACACTACTCTTCCACTGCTTTTGTTTGCTCTTGTTTCTTGGGTAAAAAATACAATGTTGAAGTCTTATTTTCTCAACTAACAACACACGCCTAAACACGTTCCGCCATGATGTTAAGTTGCTAATGCTAATGATTAACCTCTGCTAGCCATGAAAAGCTCTGCTCTGCAGTTTGTAATTATTTATAAATATTATTAAATTAATCAATCAAAATAAATATGCCATTTCATGAACTGTGCAAATGTATACATGCATGTTCTTAAGTGATGAATTAAATTTATTTCAGAAAGATTTTATTTTGCTGATCATCATGCTGCACCAGGTGGAGTTTAAGTATCTCAGGGTGTTCACGAGTGAGGGAAAGATGGAACGTGGCATCGATAAGTGGATTGGTGCTGCGTCTGCAGTGATGTGGGCGTTGTATTAGTCTATTGTGGTGAAGAGAGAGCTGAGCCAGAAGACGAAGATATCAATTTACTGGTCGAACTTCCTACCCTCATCTATGGTCACGAGCTTTGGTTTGTGACCAAAATGAATGAGAATTAGTTTTCTCTGCGGGTGTCTGGGCTCTCCCTTAGAGATAGGGTGAGAAGCTCGGCCATCCGGCAGGGCTCGGAGTAGACCCGCTGCTCCTCCACATCGAGAGGAGCCAGTTAAGGTGGCTCAGGCATCTGGTTAAGATGCCTCCTGGATGTCTCCTTGATGAGGTTTTCCGGGCATGTCAAACCAGTAAAAGACCAAAAGGAAGACCCTGGACACATTGGAAGGAATATGTCTCACCTGGCCAGGGAACACCTTAGGATTCCCCTGGAAGAGCTGGCCCAAGTGGCTGAACAGAGGGAAGACTGGGACATCTTTGCTTAGGCTACTGCCCCCGCGACCTGACTCCAAATAAGCGGAAGAGGATGGATGGATGGATGGAATGGATCCCGATGCCGTTTATTTTCTTAATTTTCCACATTTTTTCGCATTGATTTCCTTCAAATGTCAACCATCTATCAGTAAGCTGTCACCGTGGGTGGATGGTCACTTTCTGTTCCCGTCAGATGACCTTTTCCCTGGCACCCGTCGTCAGATCAGAACCTGCTTGAGCTCTGCATCATTGTGTTATTTTGTCCTTCTTGGTTTTCTTGTTTTAGTGTTCACCTTGAAGTTGTGAAGTCTGGGTTGTGTAGTTCTTGTCTTGGGGTTTGCCATGGATTAGTAACTTAGTTGCATTGTGTTGAATTCTAATGTTCAAGAAGTGTAAAACTGTTAAATATGAAATTACCCCAAACTGTACTGATTAATTCATGTTTAATA